ATATTTACAAAAAGTCAATTCGCTCGCCCCTCTAGCGGTGAAAATGAGGGGTAATACCAGCTGACCTAATGTACATGTAAAGTTTGGAGCGGGACGTTTCACAAGAGTGACACCCACGGCTCCAATTTATAATTGTAACAAATAGTATTTGAATAAAAACATTCAATCGGGTAAAACACGGGCGTTGCCCGGGTCATTCGTTAATATATAGTCACGACCGTCTTTCCTCAATTCCTCATCGCTGTCACGGATGCGCGCGCATCATCATTATGATCGTTATCTTCTATAGAAGCTTCTATCTTTATAATTATGTATATTTACAAAAAGTCAATTCGCTCGCGCCTCTAGCGGTGAAAATGAGGCGTAATACCAGCTGACCTAATGTACATGTAAAGTTTGGAGCGGGACGTTTCACAAGAGTGACATCCACGGCTCCAATTTATAATTGTAACAAATAGTATTTAAATAATAACATTCAATCGGGTAAAACACGGGCGTTGCCCGGGTCATTCGGCTAGTCCCTATATATAGTCACGACCGTCATGGGCCGGCTGGCCGGTGGCCGGCCGGCCGGTTCTGTCACGGATGTGCGCGCATCATCATTATGATCATTATCATTATCTAATGATAATAATAATAATTATTATTATTATTATTATTATTATTATATTATTATTATATAGTCACGACCGTCTTTCCTCAATTCCTCATCGGCCGCTGTCACGGATGCGCGCGCACAGGGAGGTCACGTGCTCGCCGGCAGCCAACGGGCGCGCGCCGCCAGCATTACGTCATAGATTATAAACACAAGGTAATAAGGCCAAATAAAAAAAATAGTGTGTGATAAGGCACAATTTGGATTATCTACTTATATAATTGCCTTATTCTGTCTGTGTGAAGTTCACTGTGTGAAGTTCACGGATGCGCGCGCATCATCATTATGATCATTATCATTATCCAAATAATTTGGATTATAGATTAGAAGGTAATAAGACCAAATCTACTGATAAGGTACAATTTGGAATATAGATTAGAAGCAGAAGGTAATAAGAACAAATCTAATGATAAGGTACAACTTGGATTATCAACATATATAGTCACGACCGTCTTTCCTCAATTCCTTAATTCCTCATCGCTGTCATGGATGCGCGCGCATCATCATTAGTATAATATAAAAAGCCAACAATGAAGAATGAATGTAAGATAAAAAGCCAACAATGAAGAGTAAATATGATATAAAAAGCCAACAATGAAGATTGAATGTAAGATAAAAAGCCAACAATGAAGAGTGAATATAATATATAAAACCAACAATGAAGAATAAATGTAAGATAAAAAGTCAACAATGAAGAGTAAATATAATATAAAAAGCCAACAATGAAGAATGAATGTAAGATAAAAAGCCAACAATGAAGAGTAAATATGATATAAAAAGCCAACAATGAAGAATGAATGTAAGATAAAAAGCCAACAATGAAGAGTAAATGTAATATAAAAAGCCAACAATGAAGAATAAATGTAAGATAAAAAGCCAACAATGAACAATAAATATAATATAAAAAGCCAACAATGAAGAGTGAATGTAAGATAAAAAGCCAACAATGAAGAGTAAATGTAATATAAAAAGCCAACAGAGTGAATGTAAGATAAAAGCCAACAATGAATAGTAAATGTAATATAAAAAGCCAACAATGAAGAATGAATGTAAGATAAAAAGCCAACAATGAAGAGTAAATATAATATAAAAAGCCAACAATGAAGAGTGAATGTAAGATAAAAAGCCAACAATGAAGAGTGAATGTAAGATAAAAAGCCAACAATAAAGAGTAAATATAATTAAAAAAGCCAACAATGAAGAGTAAATCTCTATATATATAAAAATGAATGTTTGTATGTTTGTCTGTTTGTATGTTTGTTTGTATGTCCGGTATACAAATTCGCAGTAGTTCACTAATTCAAACCAAAATGTCCATACATAGGTTTAAAAATACGGGGAAGACGATAGGCTATTTAAAAAAATATATAAATCAATTATTAAAACTCTATATTTTTAGTCAGAAAATGATGATGACGATATTGCTGTATCATGTTTGATTATCAGATACAAAATTATATCGGGAAAAATTCCAAAAAGCAGAGACCACGGGTGAAACCAGTTCATTATTTTGTACGCAGGAACAAAATTCTAACAGAAAAACATTCATTCGAGCAGAAAACAAAAGCCAGATCATCTTTCTATAAAAATATCGCTTCTCAGACACAAAGTTTGCAGCGGGACGTTTCACAAGTGTGACATCCACGGCGCCAATTTATAATTGTAACGAATAGTATTTGAATAAAAACATTTAATCGGGTAAAACCCGGGCGTTGCCCGGGTCATTCGTCAACATTAATATATAGTCACGACCGTCTTTCCTCAATTCCTCATCGCTGTCACGGATGCGCGCGCATCATCATTATGATCATTATCTTCTATAGAAGCTTCTATCTTTATAATTATGTATATTTACAAAAAGTCAATTCGCTCGCGCCTCTAGCGGTGAAAATGAGGGGTAATACCAGCTGACCTAATGTACATGTAAAGTTTGGAGCGGGACGTTTCACAAGAGTGACATCTACGGTTCCAATTTATAATTGTAACAAATAGTATTTGAATAAAAAACATTCAATCGGGTAAAACACGGGCGTTGCCCGGGTCATTCTTCTAGTCCCTATATATAGTCACGACCGTCATGGGCCGGCTGGCCGGCCGGCCGGTTCAGTCACGGATGCGCGCGCATCATCATTATGATCATTATCATTATCTAATAATTATTATTATTATTATTATTATCAACATATATAGTCACGACCGTCATGGACCGGCCGGTTCTATCACGGATGCGCGCGCATCATCATTATGATCATTATTATTATTATCCATCCATATATATATAGTCACGACCGTCATGGGCCGGCCGATTCTGGATTATCTACTTATATAATTGCCTTATTCTCTCTGTGTGAAGTTCACTGTGTGAAGTTCACGGATAGATTTTGGTCAGAATGGGATAAAATAAAAAAAGTGTCAAGGGATGGGAATCGAACCCACGACCTTCCGCTTACCGGGCAGATGCCATGACCACTAGGCTACCCTGGACATATTTTTCCGTTCACATTTTTATTTTTATATTTTCAAGACACACACACTTTGTGGCGGGACGTTTCACAAGAGAGACATCCACGGCGCCAATTTATAATTGTAACGAATAGTATTTTAATTAAAACATTTTAAAAATATATACGCACTCGGGTAAAACCCGGGCGTTGCCCGGGCCATTCGTATATATATAGTCACGACCGTTATGGGCCGGTTCTGTCGCGGATGCGCGCGCACAGGGAGGTCACGTGCTCGCCACACAGTTTGGGGCGGGACGTTCCACAAGAGAGACATCCACGGCGCCAATTTATAATTGTAACGAATAGTATTTTAATTGAAACATTTTTAAAATATATACGCACTCGGGTAAAACCCGGGCGTTGACCGGTCCATTCGTCTAGTCAACATATATAGTCACGACCGTCATGGGCCGGCTGGCCGGCCGGCCGGTTCTGTCACGGATGCGCGCGCATCATCATTATGATCATTATTATTATCCATCCATATATATATAGTCACGACCGTCATGGGCCGGCCGATTCTGGATTATCTACTTATATAATTGCCTTATTCTCTCTGTGTGAAGTTCACTGTGTGAAGTTAACGGATAGATTTTGGTCAGAATGGATAAAATAAAAAAAGTGTCAAGGGATGGGAATCGAACCCACGACCTTCCGCTTACCGGGCAGATGCCATGACCACTAGGCTACCCTGGACATATTTTTCCGTTCACATTTTTATTTTTATATTTTCAAGACACACACACTTTGGGGCGGGACGTTTCACAAGAGATACATCCACGGCGCCAATTTATAATTGTAACGAATAGTATTTTAATTAAACATTTTCAAAATATATACGCACTCGGGTAAAACCCGGGCGTTGCCCGGGCCATTCGTATATATATAGTCACGACCGTTATGGGCCGGTTCTGTCACGGATGCGCGCGCACAGGGAGGTCACGTGCTCGCCACACAGTTTGGGGCGGGACGTTCCACAAGAGAGACATCCACGGCGCCAATTTATAATTGTAACGAATAGTATTTTAATTAAAACATTTTTAAAATATATACGCACTCGGGTAAAACCCGGGCGTTGACCGGGCCATTCGTCTAGTCAACATATATAGTCACGACCGTCATGGGCCGGCTGGCCGGCCGGCCGGTTCTGTCACGGATGCGCGCGCATCATCATTATGATCATTATCATTATCTAATGATAATAATAATAATAATAATTATTATTATTATTATTATTATATTATTATTATTATCCATCCCTATATATAGTCACGACCGTCATGGGCCGGCTGGCCGGCCGGCCGGTGTTGTCACGGATGCGCGCGCATCATCATTATGATCATTATCATTATCTAATGATAATAATAATAATAATAATAATAATTATTATTATTATTATTATTATTATTATATTATTATTATTATTATTATCCATCCCTATCAACATATATTGTCACGACCGTCATGGGCCGGGCGGCCGGCCGGTTCTGTCACGGATGCGCGCGCATCATCATTATGGTCATTATCATTATCTGATGATAATAATAATAATAATAATTATTATTATTATTATTATCCATATAATATATAGTCACGACCGTCATGGGCCGGCCGTTTCTGTCACGGATACGCGCGCACAGGGAGGTCACGTGCTCGCCGGCAGCCAACGGGCGCGCGCCGCCGGCATTACGTCATAGATTATAAACACAAGGTAATAAAGCCAAATAAAAAAATAGTATGTGATAAGGCACAATTTGGATTATCTACTTATATAATTGCCTTATTCTCTCTGTGTGAAGTTCACGGATAGATTTTGGTCAGAATGGATAAAATAAAAAAAGTGTCAAGGGATGGGAATAGAACCCACGACCTTCCGCTTACCGGGCAGATGCCATGACCACTAGGCTACCCTGGACATATTTTTCCGTTCACATTTTCATTTTTATATTTTCAAGACACACACAGTTTGGGGCGGGACGTTTAACAAGAGAGACATCCACGGCGCCAATTTATAATTGAAACAAATAGTATTTTAATTAAAACATTTAAAAATATATACGCACTCGGGTAAAACCCGGGCGTTGCCCGGGCCATTCGTCTAGTTAATATCTATAGTCACGACCGTCTTTCCTCAATTCCTCATGTCACGGATGCGCGCGCATCATCATTATGATCATTATCTTCTATAGAAGCTTCTATCTTTATAATTATGTATATTTACAAAAAGTCAATTCGCTCGCGCCTCTAGCGGTGAAAATGAGGGGTAATACCAGCTGACCTAATGTACATGTAAAGTTTGGAGCGGGACGTTTCACAAGAGTGACATCCGCGACTCCAATTTATAATTGTAACAAAAAGTATTGGAATAAAAACATTCAATCGGGTAAAACACGGGCGTTGCCCGGGTCATTCGTCTAGTTATAATATAGTGGTAATATTTAACATTGATCATAACACTTCACGATTAAACAATATAAGTATTATGCTGGTACTAAACTTCTTGAAACATGTTATCTCTTTAGATATAACCGGATTCATGTAGCTTACTAAAAGTGGCCAACTAAAAATAGATAAAAATATTGGCAAAACTTTAATGTAAAGTTTTTATATTAATATATTTAATAACAAAAATAAACTTCCAATGGATCCCTTCCCATGTCGACATACCTCTTAATGAAGAGACAGACAAATTAGCAAAAAAAGCGTGTCACTTACCAAGCAATAGCAATAATCTACTTTTGAAGATATATATACGTATAAAAAAAAGAAAATAAATCAAAACTGACAGCTTAATTCATCACTGGTACAAACCATTGAAACAATTAGAACTTCAAAAATTCAATATAAATCAACAAACAGCCTTAGCAAGACTAAGAAGTGGCCATATAAAAACCTTAAAATTTCAAAATGGACAAAAACCTTCAATAAATGCCTGAATATAATAGTGCAGAAGCTTCTCCGGAGCATATCTTGTCATGCTCAGAACTGACAATAGAGGACCTATTTTCCAGGCCTATAACTACCATCGCAAAATTGGAGAGGAATGGACTTCAGGAATTGGTTTAACCATGGAGATAAGCACCACCATATTAGGAGTATATATATAAATAAGTTCGTGCGTTTTTCCCCCGAAAATTGAAGCTTTATTGTGAAATTGGTTAGACATTCAATGTTCAAAGTATTGTCCGTCGACAATATGAATTGCAAGAATGAAAGCGCCTAATATAATAGACAAAATTTACTTTTATTTTTATATAAACTCTGATTGTTTTTTTTAAATAAATTTTATTTTTAAGGATATAATATAGCTATATGGTGTGCTTATCCATTTAAGTAAAATTTTGGTGAAATTAAAATAATGTTAAAATATATAAGAGAAATTAATATATTTGATTATTTTTTTATCCAATAATCTGTTATACACTAAATAATGAATATAAGTTTAATTCATTATTTTGTTACCATTTCACCTCTCTGTTTATTTTTGATCTCCCTCTCTTAAAAATATATTCGAATATTAAAAAATAAATTCTTGTAATAGCCTTTATAAAGATTAGAATGGATATCAAAGGACTTGAAAACTCTCGCAAACAAATGCTGACGTGCCAATACTGCGACCAGCAGGTAAAATATAAGAGCCACCTAATAGACCACGAGAAGACCCACACGGGGGAAAGGGAGTTTATGTGTGATTGGAAAGGTTGCAACTTCAGATCTCATCGAAAATTTAATGTGGCACAACACAAAGTCACTCACACTGAAGAAAAACCTTTTACATGCAATCACTGTACTTATAGATCTGCTCACAAAACCCATTTGAGAGTTCACGTGGGAAAACACAACGATTCAAAACCATACATATGTGATATATGTAGATTCAAGACATCTTACTGTAACTCTCTGAAAGAGCACAAGCGCAACAGACACACCGACCCCGCGCTCAAGTGCAAGCTGTGCAAGTATGTGGCCTATGGAGAGGTCGACCTGAAAAGCCACACTTGTAAGGAGAACCTCTGTTGTGGAGTGTGTGGATACAAGACTCACACCAGACCCAACTTCATCCGTCACCAGGAGGAAGTTCACAATTCTGTCCTCTACTCCTGCTCCCTCTGTGGAACTAGGAGTAAGTCCAAGACCTACTTCACCAAACACATGAAGAACAAACATAATGTACAGAACATCAATATAGAAGACTTCGTCACTCCAGCTACCACGTCTCTTGACAAGTAAAAATCATTTGTTTTTCCATAGAGACATTTTAAAATCAGAATTTTGATTTATCAAGAAATTTGGTTGATCAAATATCACAGAAAACAAGCTAAATCATCGTTTAATTTATTTTTATTCCACTAGATGCCTCTGTTATCTAAATTGCTCATGTGAGCGATTAGGATACGCCATTTTGTTTTTAATATCAACACCTGACCTTTTTACTTTTTTTTCTTATTTTTCAACATATGTAATATATTTCAGCTTGTTTTAATGTTTTTTAATAAAGACTATAATTTCGTATTTATTTTGAATGTGTATTTCCTCATTGAATTCATGCGAGTTCAAATTTTGCCTAAATCAAATGTTATTTAAAACATTGTTCATCTCTGTGTACTCAGAAAAGATCAGAATCTTCTTTCAGAGGACATGCCATCTTGGAACAGTTATTTGAGTGGCTCTGAAGCCAAAGCCAGCGGTTAATTCCAGAAAAAAAATATATAATAATGTTTTCTAATGCAGTCTTTTTTTTAGGGGGGGGGGGGGGATTCATTAATTTGAATAAAAGTAGACAAATATATTTTTGAAGAAAAAGGACTTCTTAAATACTTTAGTAACTAAAATTATATTAAGTTCATATAAAAATTTCAAAAATTAGAAAAAGGGCTTGACTGCAATTGTCTCTTTCTAAGCAATTCATGGTTAATAAACCCATATTAGGGTTAGTAAACCAGTAAATCGAGATCTCTGTATCTATAGACTACTAGTCTCAATACAAACTAGACACTTCTTGTCTTGACCAAACACCTTGCACTAAATAAAACTTATGCTTAATGACATTGGATTCAAATCCAACGAGTAATCCAGAAGATAACCTTTCACCCAATCACGAGCAAGAGTTGGAACATTCAGGAAATCATAGTGACTGTTGTTGGAACATGGTGCTATCTTTATGTTCACTAAAACAAAGGACATAAAAAACTGTATCTACCCTCAGTTGTAGAGGTATTGAAGAAATGTAGCATTTTTATGTCTGCTCTGAAGTTTTGGGAACTATGTTTTTTGGATTGCATGGGATTTATCGAAATCTCATTTGTGATCCCTGTGGAACTACAATTATTACAGAAAAATACTTCCTTGTGGTATTTAATCAAACAACAATCAGAATTATGCTAAAATGTTTTAATAATACCATATCTATATTCATACACACATGGACAAAACTTAAGAAATTGGAAAGTCTTTGATGTCTCCTATAATCTTTTCTTTCTTTCTTTTTTTTTTTAAAGAAGACAGAAGCAAATTTGTTCACACTTAATTATCTCGTGGTCACTGTAATGTCTTTCAGAGGTAATGTCTGAATACCGATATACAGGGTGATCCAAAAGTCCCGCACAACTTTAAAAATTAATAACTCCGCGAATATTCGCGCTAGAGCAATGCGGTAAACACCATTGTGTTCAGGATGCAATGGGATTTTTTATGGCAAATAATGTAAAATTCGAAATTGATTTTAGTTACAATTTTATTCCCCAGATGGCGCTCTACCAGAATCAGAGATTCAGCGGCCAAATTGTTTGATAAATTGAAAAATATAACTGATCGACACGTATTTTTCCTTTTTGAATACCAGGAAAGAACCCTAATAATATCAAATAACAAATTAATAAAACACCACTTCGCCAAAAGTATGAAGAATTGGTTAACGATTTTCAAATACAATCAGAGATATGTAAAATAGGTAAATGCAAATTAAAACATGTAGCAAAAAGAAAATTGATATTTTAGATACGGTTTGTTTCCGAAGATAATAAATTTATAATATTTTTAATTCAACTCTCACTCAGTATCGATTATATTTATCTTAATTCATTTGAAAAATATGTATCTATCTCTGATAATTTATTTTACTCTGGAATGCCGTTGTTGTTGTCGTGTCCAATAAAGAGCCTCAGATGTACCATGCATCTCCATCACATCAGCAGCAATGTCCACTATCTTGGGTGTGTAAAGCTGCTTCTCTGGGTCTGTCAAATTTCTGCAAGGCTGCGGCCATCGCTGGACATGAGAATATGTGGGTAGGTGTAAGTTCCACACCAGGACAATTGTTGCATGCCCTATAGGTTCTTGTGCCATCTGGATGTATTGTCATTCCTTTATAGTGTTTTGTTCTAAGTCTTGTTATAGTTTTTGTCATTTTTCTCTCAGAGTTTATTTAGCATTTTGATCTTTTCTTATATTTTTGTTTAATTATCTTGTATTCTGACAAAGAATCGGCGTCAAATAATGACATTTGTTCTTTCCCTTGGCTCAACTTTCTGGCTTCCTTTGCCAATTCAAATGCCATTTCATAACTCCCGATCCCAGCATGGGCAGGGATCCAATGTAGAATGCAGTTATTCTCCAATGGTTCCACTTGGGTAAGAAACGAGTGTATTTTCTGTGTGATTTTAGTATTGCCCTTCTGAATTGCTTCTAGAGCGGATATGGAGTCGCTGTATATTAAAATTCCTTCTGCTTGATGCAGGGATGGTTGGTTAAGGCATACATCAAGGGCTTTCCAGATAGCTGTCAGTTCACAAGTGAAGTTTGACGAAATCTGTCCTGCTCCTTCTTTGATTTTGATGTTTGTTCCATCTTGCAGTATTATGTTAATTCCTGCCCCTCCATTACTCAGGGTAAGGTCTAAAGATCCATCTGTATATGC